AGGTGAGTGACAGAGAAAGACACATAATGTTGATCTGTGGCCTCTCAACGCGTTGATCTGCGCGCAGCGCACGCGCACGCGCGCGCACACACACACACACACACACACACACACACACACACACTCACACATCCATACAGATATATGAATACACACACACTTGCAATGAATGATAAAGTGGCATTTGCCTGTCATCCAGCATTTGAGAGACAGCAGGCAGAAGACCAAGAGCTGAAGCGTAGAGTGAGTATGGGCTACAGAAGACCTTGTCTCAAAAACAGTAACACAACAACAAAAAAGCCCAATAATAGAAAATTGCCTATTAGTCTGGGGAGATTCGAAGAAAGAATCAAGATATTGTAAAAATGTCCTAGCTTTGAGATAATTTTCCCTGCAAGTTGTTTCCAATGCATGTGTGTTTTACCTAAAGCTATTTCACTGAGGGGCCAGTGGGGCCAGGGAGACATTTTCATTCACACTCTATCCATGGATCTCAATATTTACAGTGCTTTCATACTGCTCATCTTATATAACATCCTCGATTAATTTTCAGGCCTTGAGGTGCTGTTTATTAAATTAGGGATACAGCCTACCAAATTAATAAGTTATTACTTCGGAGGCACTCATGTTCTGAATGTATAAATGTGTTGCTTAAATGACTCTTGGGGAATAATTTACACACGAAGAGGCTCTGTGGGTTAAACAAGCCTGGTGCAATGATCATGTCTCAAACGGCCTTTGCTCTAGGTGGTTGAGTGGATATCAAAGTATATTCAGTATGTTCCCAACACACTACCCTAGAATCAGGAGTTAGATATAACATTAAGCATATAACGTTCCAAAAGAAAACTTCCATGAGAAACGTGTTTCTCAGCTCCTGATCTTGAAAAGACAGCTTGCTTTCATTGTGGAATTTGTTTTCCCCTAAAGGAATTGCAGGAGAGTGAGCATACAAATACTTAAATTCAAGGTAAAGGACATTAGGAATTTGCTGCTGTATCAGTTTCCCTTTTGAGGTATTAAAAGGTGGAACTGAGGCCAACAGTCACAGCTTCTAATCTCCTGCTGCTATTTTTTCTTGTCCTTGACTGTTTGTAGCAGCTTTATAATAAGTGACACATACAGCTATCTCAAACTTAGGTATTATAGAATTAAAAAGAAAAAAATGGTTTGGGTAAAATTTCTCCTCTGTGTCATGGAGCCATGGGCTTTGTGACAGCAGGGACCAACATTCATTCTTATTTTATTTTTATTAATTTTTTTTTAAAGGTGAGATCTCATACAATCCACGTTAGCCTCAAATTCCCTACATAGCCAAGGATGCCCTTGAACTTCTAAGTTCTCCTGCTTCTATCTCCCACTAAGCATATGGATTACTAGTGTGTGCTACCACACCCAGTTTATGGGAGAGTGTGTGTGTGTGTGTGTGTGTGTGTGTGTGTGTGTGTGTGTGTAAACCTAGGGCTTCCAGTTTGCATTCTATGAACCAATTTACACTCCCAGGCCCCTATCATTCTTATGGTCTTAGATTCTAGCTCTGTTCTTGACATATGGTCCAGTTCTAGTAAATACATGTATGGATGTATTTCATAAAACAAACAAAAGAGATCATAAAGGGGAAAATCCCTAGTTATTCTGAATGTACAGCTAGCAAAATGTCCACTGTCTGTTCTATCACCTAGTAGTTTTTCTATGGACCTTCCTCTTCCCTGACAAATCCATACAGTGAAGGATGGATAATGGCTAATATTTGTGGATTTGATTAGTTGAGTTTGTATACCAATAACCTGTCACAACCAATAGGTAAAATCTATTTTAGGGTGCTTTATAATGCCCTAATTACATTTGAAAGACTATCTTTTCCTTGTGTTCTGGCAGAAACATCCAAACTGGTCTGAAGTTCCAAACTAGCCATGAGATGCAAAGGCTGGGGCCACACCAGTGTCGATGTGGTGGTAGTGCAGGAGTTAAATTCGGACACACATGTCTTTTTTCATTCTTCATCGCCGTTCTTATTTAATTTGATGTTAATCACTTTTCTGTTCATCGGAATAACCCAATTTCATACCGTAGTATACATTACAATATCCGTGAGATAATTTCTATTTGGATAAGGAGATGCTTTTTTATCATTGATCACTCTGTTTTAATCACTCCTATTGTTCGCTATCTAGCATTGATGTTTGTTTTAAAATTTCTCTTTGGTCCATTTTTGTGATTGAGACAATGTCTCCTGAAGCCCAGGTTTGCTGTGTAGTTGTGATTAGCCTTGGAATCCAGAGCCTCCTGCTTCAGATTCCCACGTGGGAGCCAGCTCTCCATTTGATTTGAGTGCATTTTCTACACTTGCATTGTCAAGTACTGACTTTCCACATTTATACCTCCAACTGTGAAGGTTGTCACGATAAATGGACAGGACAGACATTTACTATCACAGTTTTACTGTTGTTAACAGCCACCCTGTTGAAACAGTTACAAATGAAAAAATGGAAAGAGTGTCGTAAAATTCCTTTGTTCAAAGTTGAACCTAGAGTATTTCGGGCTGTGTTTTCTTTCTCTTTTTCCTGGTCGAAGTCTTTTTGCTGTGAAGAGGGTCACGTAAGGACGTTGGTGGAAGGGCTCGGCGCGCCATCTACTGGCGTATTGTAAATCTCCGTGTCTGTAGGCTGGGAATGACTTTACATGCAAGGGTTTTAAAGCATTCTTTGAGAAAGGAAGGGCGTTGGGGAAAGACTCGGTCAGATTCTATGATTTATTTGTGGTTGTTGGAACACATAAAAATTCAGCAACATTTCACACACACACACACACACACACACACACACACACACACACACACACACACATTGTGGTGGGGGGCTGTGCTGTGCTGGGCTAGGCTGAGAATCCCTCTAACAAATATAAGTTACAGTTTCTGGAGGGACTCCCAAGAGACCAACTCTGGAATCAGAGCAAATGCTGAATGGTCACCACTCTGTGGAAATGACTTTACTAAAACCATATTCATATAATCATAGTTTCCAATCTTATCATTCCAGAGTAGTCCCTACAATCTGGTTATTTGACAAGTGGTGTGATGACGTAGAGCAGAGAGCCACCCCTCACTTACACAGCACACACAGCAGGTATGTGTATATGCAAACCTAGTGCTTACACACACACACACACACACACTCACTCACAAGATGACATGTACTTATGGACTTGGCTGAGAAATACGTCCTCGGACTTGTACTGAAGTTTCCTCCCTCAGATACCTTCTCCCCTCTGTGCTGAATTCTGAAGGATGGGAGAAACAGTTTTAGGAGAACCGCACCACTTGAGTTGGAAAGTTGCTGCTTTGGACTTGGCTGGAAGTGGTTGATCCTATCTGATTCCAGTCATCTACATCGCTGAGCAGCGGGAAGAACTGAACTTGATCATGGAGAACCTGGGGCCCCAGGCAACCTCCTTCCCGTTATTCTGAAGTCTTCAATGCAAGGGCCGAGCTGTGCTTTCATGGTCTCTGGGCGCCAGGAAAAGAGGAAAGCAACAAAGTTGAGTCAGAAAGAGGGAGAGAGACAAAAGGACAGGGAGAAAAGAAGTAAAGAAGTTGGCGATCCGGAGAGAAAGGGTAGTGAACAAAAGATAAAGTCCGGAAAACAGCCCCCACCAAAACTAGTTCAAGAAAGGAATTAAGAGCCAGAAAGGTACAAGAACTTTATTTAACGAAACAAAGTCACACCCATCTTTCATTTTCGTATCTCGTCTAGACCTTATCCGTTTCCTTTTTAAAGGTTGTCTGTGTTTCTAGAGGGAGCTAGTAACTCTTTTCTTTCTTTCCTTTTTTTTTTTTGCTCCCCACGTATGGCCTGATATTCTTTCTATCCATGGCCACAGAGACAAAATACAATCGGAGCTGAAGCATTTGTAGAACAGCGACTCTGGAGCACTCCTGTAACGGGTTGTCACCCGGGAGCCTAAATGGATTAATACCCAGAGATGGATTACGTTGGCTGTCACCAATATGCCTAAAGATTATAATCCAATTTATGCACATTACAGTCAGTATTAACTTTATCTATTTTAAGGCTCCCAGTCGCCTCGTGCGTCCTTAGAGAGAGGACAGACCCTGATGCAACCCAGCAGGTTGTCAGTGGGGGAAGCCTCTCCAAGAAAACAACTGGGAAGCTGGGTCCCAAAGGGTCTTCACCGGGCACTCCCAGGTGTCTAGATTTCACCTGGGCATGGTTTTGTGCAGCTTCTCAGCCCGGGATCACCAAGGCGGGAGGCGTTTCCTAGGAAGGAAATGGCATTCCTGTTTCGCGTACATTTCATTTTTAAATTTTCAGTGGCCGTGGCAGGAGGGCGGGGTGGGCTGGTGCCTGGGAGTAGATGGGAAAAAGGGATGTAAGTAAGGTTACTGCGGGCTGCTCAGTCCCAGAGATTGCTATTTGGAGGCTTTTTTTTTTTTTTTTCTTGTCGCGTGGATTTCTCTCGCTCTCTGTTTAAGTAAGTTTGTTTGGGTGTGCGTTCTTGCGATTTCAGCACAAACCCACAAAAATCCACGGTGGAAAGTAAAAGCAAGCCCGCTCTCCCTTCTCAAACGTGCTCACTACCGCCAAAGACTTGATTTAACAACCCCTTCTCCGGCGGCTGGGGGCTCCAGGCAGTGGCCACATTCCAGCAGTTTTAATCCGTTTTTTATTGTAGGGCGAACGGAGTTTGCACAGGGGCCGGGATGGCTCCCCAGCTGGCCGCTCTCCCAGCGCCGGGCCTCCTCCCTCCATTTCCTCCCCCCCCCCCTCCCCAGCAGGAACCTGTTACTTTAAGCGAGGCGTTCCAGTGTGGCGCTGCCGGCCGCCGGGGTTTCGGGAGGCGGCCGCTGATTGGCTCTTTCGAGCTCCCCCTGGCTCGGTCGCTCGGCCTCCCCGCGCGCTCCGCCCCGCCCGCGCGCCCTCCCTCCGCCCCGAGAGGCTCGAAGCCCGGGTGTCAGGCGCCACGGCGCATGCTCCGGACTCATCCTCTGGCCCCGGAGCTGCTGCTGCTGCTGCTGCTGCTGCTTTTGCTTTTGGGGCTGAGTTTAATAAGCAAGCGAGCGAGCGAGAGAGCGCGGGGTGGGGTGGGGGCAAAGGCAGAGCATGTCCGCCATCTACCCTCCGCTCCCGGGCGCGCTCTCATTCATAGCAGCCTCTTCATGAATTACAGCTGAAGGGGGCGGGGGAGGGGGGGGGGGTACCACACAACACCCCGGCAAACCTCCGGGCCCCCAGGCATGGCTAGCTCGGTAAGTACATGCAAAAATAATAATAAAAGCCCCCCTCCCTCTCCTCCTCCGCCCCGCGCCGCCGCAGCCCAGACAGCGCCAGCGCTCCGCGGTTCCAATTAGAGAAAGGTTGGTTTTGCTCGCGGGGAGCTGCCGCCTCTCCCTCCTCCCCACCCCCCCCGGCGCGCGCGCACACACTCGCACACTCGCCGCCCACCCCCCCCCCCCCCGCGCCTCCCGCCCGCCTCGCCTCTTTGCAATCGCAAGAAGCGCACTCACACTCCCTCTGGCTCACACGCGCGCACACACACACTCACACCCGGTGGAAGGAGGCGAATAATAACTCAGCCATATTTCAGCCGCCGCCGCCGCCGGGAGCTGCGGGCACAGTCCGGGGACGCGGCGAGCAGCCTCTGCGGCCGCACCTCCGCCGAGCGCCGCGGCCGCCACGATGGTGCGTTCTCCGCGGCGCGCGCGTGAGCCCGAGTGTGCGGGCTGACAGCGGCGGGGCTGCTCGCAACTTTGCCCCCAGCGGCCGGTGTGCGCGACCGGAGCTCGGCGGCGGTCCGCCAGCAGCCCTGCCTTTCTGCATTTCGTGGCTTTCGGGGTGGGAGGCAGGAGGGAGTTTGCGACCACTTTGGCTCTTGAAAGTGTGCAGCGGGGGCTCTGCTGGGCTGGCCTCGCCGCTCGTGGGGGGCTGTTCGCTGAGGGGCGCGGGGTGCTTTTGAGTTATGGATGCCTCGGCGTGTTTTCGTGCGGGCGTGTGTGTGTGTATGTGTGTATGTGTGTGTGACGACGTCTCATTCTTGTGCATGAACCCCGTGGTAAGAAAGAACACGGGAGTTTGTGCCCATCAGCAGAGGCTGCTTGTAGTTTCCATTCCGCCTGGCACCGCGCTCCACACGCACACACACACGTACACAAAGACTTCCTCGGCGTGTGCCTTTCGCCGCGGTACTTTCGGGGAGGGGGCTCGCCACAACCCCGGGTCCCCATCCCAGCCACCTCCCCTTCCACGCCGGGAAAGCACCCCGGCATCCCCTCCTGATTGTCTCCTAATTTGTTACCGACGCGATTGTTGTCGTGCTTGCCGTGGTGGTCGTGTTCTTCCCTTTCCTGACCCCCTTCGCGACTAGGGGTAACATTCCGTTACAATCCCGGCCGCTGTGCAGCGGCGCCCGGGGCCCCTGCGGCCCGGCTCGGTGTGTCTGGGGGTGTGGGGTGTGCGCGCCCACGCGCGTGAAACGTGGATGCAGAGGGCACTGCCGTTTCCTTTTATGTGCGTTTCAAGGAGGAGGGAAAAAATGTCAGGCGCAATGTTGAGCAGCGAACGGTTGCCTTCCTGTTGTTCACGGCTGTCTCTCCTCCCCCTGCCCGCAGTGTGCCGTGCAGGTGAAGCTGGAGCTGGGGCACCGCGCCCAGGTGAGGAAGAAACCCACGGTGGAGGGCTTCACCCACGACTGGATGGTGTTCGTGCGCGGCCCGGAGCACAGTAACATTCAGCACTTTGTGGAGAAAGTCGTCTTCCACTTGCACGAAAGCTTCCCTAGGCCAAAAAGAGGTAGGGCTCGAATACAAAAGAGACTTGATAAAAAATGTCTTTGCTGGAGAGGAAACAATCGCGGGGCCCCGGCGCTCCCCGGGCCGTTCCCCGCCCCCCCGCGCCTCGCTGGCCGGTCTAGCCTGGGACCCGGGGGCGCGGTGCCGTTCTGGCCAGGTCCCTGCAGCCGTCTGCCCGCGCGCGCGCAAGCGGTCGACTTGGGATCCGGGAAAGTCAGCGCAGAGAAAGAACCGTCAGGTGTCGCGTGTTTATTCACCCCAGCCCTCTTGGGTTGCTGTGGGTCCTTTGGGGAAGGTGCAATTAGTTACTGGGTTTGGAGCTTTGGAGAGTAGGGCTGGAGGGAATAAACAGTTTGCGTCTTTTCTTCCCCTCTTGGAGAAATTGAGATTTACCTGTGTTACTAGCCAAGAATGCATTGGAGGTAGTTATTGTTCCGTTTAGAGAAGTCAGTTCTCTAGGTTCTTCTGGCCTCTGTGTTTGAGTTACTAGGTGCCAGTTGCTGTAGACTCTCCCTTGGGGAGTTAGCCTCCACCTCTCCTCACCTCAGCCTGAATTTTACTAGTTGGGGGACTTATTAACCCCCCCCCCCCCGCCCCCCCGCGGCATTTTACTGCTCCAGTTGCTCCAGCAGATAGTGAGCACATTCTGGAGTGTCTTCTGGTTGGGACCCACAAGGGGAGGGGGGTTCTATTAAGGTTGAAAGCTAAGTTTCAGGCAATGATGCTGTTTTGCCTATCTCTTCAGTTTTCTCCACACCTTGATCCTTGGTCATAAAGTCGGATTGCATACTCTTACTGAGGCTCTGTAGTCCCAAACATCTTCAATAAAAAGAGCCAGACAGTTTGGGGTGGGGGGGCAGAGAGGAAAGGGGTGTCATGTAAAACGATGTTTGAAGAGGCTTTGAAAAATACTGGTTTCTCTTCCCTCCTGCCTCTGGAAAGCTGCTGTCTGGTTGTTTTAGTTGGATTACTGGAGGTAACAGTACAAATACAATAAGGTGCTTTGTTTGTGAGCAGCTTTATTTATCTAAGTCGACACAATGGTTAGTAGTTATCTTCCATTTGATCCGTAATCTTTATTGGCATCTAGAACTCCTGCAGTTTCTTAGAGTAACATCATAATAAATCCATTCTGCTTAGAGTGATGTGGAAATTATTGAACATTCAGGGGCTGAATAAAGAAAGGAGAAAGGATGCATGCCTTGGAGGTGGCAGAGTTTGTGTTTATTTTTATTTTCCGTGCCTGTATAATGGGAAGTAGGATTTCATTTTTGTGCCTGACCATATAAGTGGTTAGGCTTATAGCTCCTTTCCAAAACTTGACCAGTTGAAATTTTGATGGGCTTTGTTGAATGGTTAAGAAATATGTCCATTTTCTAGTAGAGGTAGGAGAATATGCATGACTTATAGGAGGTAACACTTAGCATTTGTTAGCATTTTATATGAACTTATAGACAGGTACTGTATTTTTGTATTTCCTCAAAGCCATGGTAAGAATGTGCATGGCCAGGCTGTCTGCAGATGCCTGGGGATGATGTTGGTTGGAATCCCTCTCTCCTCCCATGTCTGTTGAACCACTGCAGAGTTTAAACAAAAGAAAGCACCTTCTGAGCTGTTTGGTACTCTGCTGCTGCCACTTGGCTGCTGTTCACTTCAAGGCAAAATACACTTTAAAAAGCAGTATTTATTGTCTTAGGAGAGTCAACTCAGTTATTAGAAAATGTTGCTCTTAAGGTAACTTTACTTGGGCACCTTGATAATTAACCAATTGGCATATAAAATCAAGACCCCCCTCTTTTCTATTTCCCACCGTTTCTCTGCTTCTGTGGGTATGAGTGGTGATGCTACCCCGTGTTTCCCATACTGGGTGATTTTCTGTCCAGCCTGGCGGGGGTTGCTGTTCCCATAGCACACACCTGCAAGGTGTGTTGAGCCCCTGATAACAGTGATGACTTTTCAATCTCTCTGGTGAGGGGTGTCTGTTGATTGGACTTCACAATTTCAATTCTCAACTGTGGAGTGTCTTCTTTATGCAGTCGATAAGCCATTGTTTTAAAATGTTTATTTTTGGATTTTTATTTGTGTTGTGTGTGGTTCCCATGATGTGACAAGTCCTGGGAAAAATGCCAATTTCTATCGCCCAGGAGAGACCTTGTCATACTGTAATTACAATGATTCAGAGTGCTAGAGGTTTCACTGTTCATTGGGAATAGCGAGCTGTAAACTCCAGCAACACCAGGCATGCTGTCCAATCCTGGGATCTATTTGGTGACTTATCAAATCTTTGAAAATGATAAGAACAAATGAAAACTAAGATCGCCAGGCATTTATAAGGCTTTTTTCTAGTACCTTTCAAGGTGCTGTGTCTTGCTATATGGTGGATATAATTGGTAGAATAAAGTTTAACTAATTGGAAATCAGAGGAATTGCAAAAATGAATTTGAGAGAGATCGGAGTACAGTGTGTTTAAGGTAAAGCTTATCCTCTAAACTATTAGTAGTGACAAGTTAACGCCCTTGCATTACATACAGTAGCTAATAAGCTGAGGAACCCCAGATCTGGGCATGAACTGTTCAGCCATGAAGATGGATGAGTCCTTAGCTTTGTAATCCTTGGTTTAGAAAAGCAAATTGATTTTCAGGTTGATTTCCTTTACTTCACAATAATATTATGAGAACTTGTAGAGGAAGAAATTATAGTATTTTCAACTTGTTGCCAAATGAGAATTATATATACCATTTCAGAATTGAGCTAATTGGATTTGAATTAATGAGGGTTTTCTCTGTCACAAAGACGTGTGGGAGACCTTTAATTTAAAACTACTGGCACACAGTCCTAGAAAAAGAGATTTTGATGAAATAGTGAAGCCTAGAATATCCATTAGCTAATGAAGAATAGGCAGGTCAGAGTTGATGCATTTTCAGACTATCTATTTGCAGGAAAAGATCATATCTTATGTATTATTACCAAAGATTTATGCTGGTCTGATATGACTGAAATGGATAGTTATATTCAAAACATTCCATTTAAAATATTAATGTTTTCATTTTTAGTCAGGTCTAAGTTTTGGTGAACTCTCCTTCCAATTATACACATCCTTACTATTGCAATCTGTTTTATTGACATTTATGATGTGAAAACTGTTGCTTATTATTTTATGAAAGCTAATTTGGCCACTGGTATGATTTGATAGCTTTCTGTTTGTCGCCTCTAGTCCTTTGAGTGGGCAGATAAAACATAATCAGTATACCCTTACAGCTCTCCTTTGGTTTAGGCATCTGTGATTAGCTTTATTATAGAGCTCTGATTTGTGCCTCTTAAGTAATTTGGACAACTTTTTTTTTTTATCAAGGTAGCTAGTATTTGAAGGTTTATTTGGTTGAGGACTTGGTATATATCCTGTATCTTTTGTCTTTGGAGGCATTTAAAAATGTACCAATTAAAGAAATAAGGATGGGTGGATCTCAGTTGCTTATGGTTCTGATGGGAATTACACTGACCAGCAAGCAGGGTGAAGCTTCCCTAGCCACTTGACAGATGCATTGCTGAAGGAATGTCACCTACTGTGATGAAAATGTCAGCTGGGTATGGAAAGTTGGGAGGGCATTTGGCTAAAATCGATTCCGATTTCAAGTGCTTATATCATTGACCCCAGCAGACCTACTAGGAATTTCCTGTTAGCTGTGACTTTCCAAGTATACAAACAGATCAACTATTTCTTGTGACTTTTTTAATAGCAAAAATTAGTAAGGAAGCCCTAGAGGGGGACTTCAAATGAGTGCACGCAAAAGATGATAATCTGTAAAAAGTGGCAAATCTGTATGTAAATGTCAGGACATCTTAGAGACCTATTAGCTGGTCAGGCAACATGTTGTCCAGGTGATCCATTAAGGAGTGTGCCTCCTCCCATTGCACATGTACACATATGTGAAGAAATTCTGGGTTCTGGGCATCAGTCTTCCAATGGTTATCTTTGAGCAGGTGGAGGTGGTGCTGGTGGTGGAGGTGGAGGTGGAGGTGGAGGTGGAGGTGGTGGAGGTGGAGGTGGAGGTGGTGGTGGTGGTGGTGGTGGTGCTGCTGCTGCTGCTGCTTCTGGATTCTTCTTCTTCTTCTTCTTCTTCTTCTTCTTCTTCTTCTTCTTCTTCTCCCTCTCTCTCTCTCTCTCCCTCCCCCCCCCTTTTTTTTGGTTTTTCGAGACAGGGTTCCTCTGTAGCGTTGGAGCCTGTCCTGAAACTCTGTAGACCAGGCTGGCCTTGAACTCACAGAAATCCGCCTGCCTCTGCCTCTCAGGTGCTGGGATTAAAGGCGTGCGCCACCACTGCCAGACTGAACAATACTTTTTAAACAACAAAAATGAGTGAGAAGTAGTGTGTGTCTATGGTATGAATGTCTCTAATGTCTGGTTTCATCAACAGGACCAGTGGCTGCTGTATCCACTGATGTATTCAGTCAGCTCTGTTGCCTCATGCCACATGGCCCCAGATAGACTGTGTACTGCTGAGAATGAGACAGACTTAGGGCCACTCTGAAAGAGTGTCACCGTTCTGAGAAATAGGTCTGAGGAGCAGTGTAGTCTGCAGAGGACACTCCAGACAAATGTAAACTAGGTATTAAGCATACAGTCTGACATGGATAGAATGCCTACCATGTACAGTGTGAATTCTCTTTGTAGTCATTACTATTGTTGCTAATAATAATACTTACGTTACAGAAGAAGAAAAGGCAGGCGTTTCAGGGTTCTTCCCTCCTCAGATGCCAAGGGAACAATAGTTATTCCACTGTTTCTTTTCACAAGAGGATACTCCAAATTGGAGTTTGACTGGATGTATTTTATAGGTGATTTTACAATATGTTTGATGATACACTGTATTATGCAGAGACTTGTTAGTACAGGAATTATTTTAGATGACCCCTGTAGAACTTCCTCCGTGAACTAAGAATGGCTAGGAACCGATTGATTTTATAATTTTACCTCAAAGATGGTGAGGCTGACTTTGTGTC